TCACACACACACACACACACACACACACACACACACACACACACTGCACCACACACTAAAAACAAAGCAACAACAAAAAAAATGAAACAAAGATGTTAAGTATCTGCTAAAAAACTATTATTTCCAAAGAAACTTTGTTCTGCTTACTAAAGCTTATTTTGGGGAGTTATTCTTTGAATATAATTTGTATTTATTTTCTTTTAGTCAGTGGTACTAAACTTGCTAAGGTAAACATGAGCAGTTACTTGAATTCTAATGTATGTGTTGGTAGACATCATCTAAAATTGTCATGCCTACCCCTGCCTTCTTGAATCTGCTCAGGAGAGGGCTGATTGGCAGAGTGATTTTTATACTGAGGTGAGTCATTTTAGTATTGCTACACTAAGCCTGAAGGTAAAGAAAAAGATGATTACAGGAGTCTGTCTATCTAGCTTATTATCTTATCTGCTCTTCAGTAATTCTAGTAGCAACAGTTTAAGCCATCAGAAAATAAAAGTTTTATCCACAAAGAAAAACACATTTATGAGAAATAATATTTAATCTCAAGGAAAGTTTTCCTTTTTGAGCTCTTGTTTTTTATGTAAATTATTACTCAGACTTTAATTTTCTAGCTGCTATGTTAAATCAAAGGTTTTGTTGTTGTTTGACATTTTATCTGGTCAAAAGTATTTAAAAAAGAGGTTAAAAAGATCACAGAGCATAACCTGTTAGACCAGATTCATTTCTAACTTTGGCAGCCCTTATAATTAGAACAAAAATAGTTTTAAAACAAGCAGTTTAATGCCAATGACATAATTTATTGAGTGTTCATTATTTGTTATTCATCCTTAGATGTTTAAACATATTGCCTTGTTAAATATACACAGCATGTGGATTAAATACGATTACACCCAGTTTCTTAGGAAAAATAACTCAGAGATACTCCTACTGCTGATAGACTTTTATCTGACTCTGTTTGCTCCACTGTATCAAGCAGCTTCTCTGTGCAGTGAGGCATTCTTTTTGTTCTTGTTGCAGATAGTGAAAGCAAGGCTTAATAATGTGCTCAAAGACCTGTAGCCAAAGGACAAAGGAAGAGGGTGCTCTTTAGGACTGGAGCCCTGTTTGACATAACTCCAAAACCTATTCTTTTTTTGTAGATACTTGATGAATCCAGACTGGATTCTGTGTCTGTGTATCTTTATATGCTGTGTATGTATGGTATGTGTATGCCTGTCTCTGGTGTGGGTATGTGCGTATGAATGACGTGAAGGTGCTAAGGAGACCGGTCAGAAGAGGAGGGCATCAGCTCCGCTGGAGGGCGAGCTACCTGCTGCAGGTGCTGGGAATCAATTCAGGTTCTCTGCAGCCTGAGTTCAGACTTACAATAGTTAAAATCTATTTTGCTTAGAGCAGAAATTATAGAAAATTTAAAACTATGTATCAAAGCTGTCTCATAGATTGTTCTTTCATTAAGTATGGGATGTCCACAGTAGAATTGCTGCTTTCTAAGAATTTACATACTAAGAAGCAGACTTATTATTACCCATACTATTTACAATTGGACATAATTAGAAATTTCTTGAGTCCCCTCCTCCCCCCTTTGTTTAAAAAGGTAGATACTGCTGGGCATGATGGCACATGCCTTTAGTCCCAGTACTTGGGAGACAGAGGCAGGAGGATTCTGTGAGTTCCAGGACAGCCAGGGCTACAAAGAGAATCCCTGTCTTGAAAAAGTAAATAAATAAAGATAGCTGAACTGTTGAAACTAGAGGACCAGAAAGATAATACTATTACTAATAGCTGTGCTTGACACCTCTAAGCCCAGTCAGCGTTGTGTGTGTTACTGTGACAAAATACAAGTGGGACTTAGCTTAGGAGGAAATGGAGCTGGAGAGATGGCTCAGGAGTTACTAGTGCACACTGTTCTTGGAAGACTGTGTTTGGTCCCCAGCACCCACAGCAGGCAGTTCATAACTGCCTGTAACTCCAGCTCCAGGAGATCTGAGACCTCTGGCCTCCTAAGGTACTTGCAATCATGTGCACATATTCCCTCACCCCCTCACATACACATGCTTAAAGACAAACAAAAAACAAAAAACCAAACTTCTGTTTTTTTAAAGGAGGAGAAAAGGCTATTTGGCTCCTGGCTTCAGAAGTTTAAGTCCTTGCTCACTTTACCAAGTTACCAAAAGAGGAGGAGGTATGCCTATCTTGAGATGGCCTGGAAACAGAACCAGGAAGGAGCTGGGCTCTCTGCATCCTCCTCAAGGACAAAACTCCAGTGACCCAACTTCCTAATGGTTCCACCATTTCCCAGATCATTCCAGGCTGGGGACCAAGCTTTCCACACTTAGACATTTTAACTGCAGACTGCAGCAAACCTTTCCCATACTTCTGATATTGTGCTGAGGTGCCTCACAAGCATACAATTGTGAGCTGTGCGTACTAATTTATTTTCTCTCACTCCACACATCAGAAGATTGAGGGTCAGTAGATGATATAATTCAGTCAGGACGTCACAGCCAGAAAGCAACAGAACTAGGATTCAGATTCATATTTATCTAGGCATGCTGGTATATGCTTATAACCCTAACCTTTAGGAAGCTGAGGCAAGGAGGATCAGGGAGTTGAGGCAGCCTAAGCTATTTAGGAAGTTTAAGGCTAGATAGTGAGACCCTGTCTCAAGAATAGTCACATACATATTATTCTAAATCTTGTATTTTTGATCACTGAGTCATACAGGTTTGAAACCTGAGATTTCTTTTGTTTGCCTGATGCCTTCATTGGTATCATGATTGGTAGCACCGCCAGTTAGTAATGTACAGCCAAAAGCAATACAAACGGAAACTTTAGAGTAAAACTGGGGCTAGAGCATAAATTCAAGAAAATGATAGTGAAAGTTCAGAGATTCCGATTGTTTCTCCAAGAATAGAAAAGTGAGTCTTTTCTGGCATTTTGAAAAGGAGTATGAACGAACCAGCCTGAGGAAAAGCAAACAAAATTCACTAACTAGGCCTGTTCCAGAGTTCATATAATTGTAAGGCTTGGGGGAGCCATGGTACCCATCCGAGTTACTTACAGATGAGAAGCCTTCTCAGTTTGATGATGTGCTTTAGATGGTAGAGGTGATGACCAGATAGGTAGTATTTCACAGACAGCAAACATGAGTCATAGTTGAAACTGTAAGATGTTTTTTGAATGGAAGACCGAAAACAAGAAACAGAACAGGGTAGGGATGGGGAGGAAAGAATTAGATTACACACTTGAAAACAAATGGAGATGTAACGGGTATACCAATGTAATGCAGTGTCATCACAGGCATGAGGACTGAGACACTAACAACTGAATACTTATTTCCTAGGCAGGAAGAATGGAGACAGCTAAAATGCCATTTAATTTGTCAAGAATGCAATCTGTAACCCACAAAATGATGGTTTTATAAGCCTTAGAAATATATACTAGAGTGCCAAGTCTTAAGTGGAAATAATGTGGTTTTTGATATCAATCATGATTGAGATAAAATCTCCATGAAATTTTCTAGAACTTTGACTAGCCATAGGTGCTATTAAAATAAAAAAATTATTCTAGATCTGGAGACACAATGCCTATAATCTTAACCTTAGAAGGCTGCAGCAGGAGGATAAGGAGTTTAGATCAGCCTAAGATAGTTAGTGAGG